GGACTGTTCTAGGGCTGTAACCTCATGAATATGGTACTATTCCATGATTTGAACTCGAATTTGAAGGTCTAAGATGCTATACTAGGAGTTAGGGTGGTTACCTTGAAGATTTGGGGCTTGAATTGGGTGTTTTTGGACCTTAATCTTTAGTTAGAGGAGAGAGGTTAGAGAGAGAGTAGTGAGAGAGGGAAAAATCTTCAAATGAAGTCTTTTGGGCTTTAAATAGGTCGTAAGTTTGAGACACGGTGGAATTCTACCCGATACCGACGTTAAACGGGGCTTTTGGTCGCACCCGATTATGCTATCGTAACCCGGCGGAATAGAATTTGGAATTTTTCAATTTAATTATTTTGGGCCATGTTCATGAGTTTATAGGGGATTTTAACACTCAAGAGATTATAATAAACATATTAGTTTAAATAATTTAGCCCAAAAACGGAAATCAGAACGAATCGCTATAGACGGGTTCTTCGGACGAAATGGGTTTCGGCGATGGACAACTTCGGGTTGTCACACGTTTTGAATAGGCCATACAAGTTTTTAATAATCCATGCATGTTTCATGTCGACCATGCACATCTCAAGTAGGCCACACACATGTCAAGCATGTCATGCACGTTTCGAGTAGGTTTTTTCTTAGGTTCCATGCACGTCTCAAAGATATCATCCATGCATGCACCACCTTTGCTTTCTTGATTCTCAAGCCATCATTCTCGCGCTCGCGACTCAAGTTGAAATTCTACTATATATACTTGAGTACCATCCAAGCCTTATGGGCCCACAAGTTGGCCCATGCAAGTCCTATTTCGGCCCATTAAGAAACCCTAGAAACCTTCAACTATAAATAGCTCACTTCTCCTTCTCATTCTTGCTTTTTCACTTTCTCACAAATTCTTACTCTTATACTCGCTTGGATCAACAAGGCTTCGTGAGCAATAGTTTCGTATGCAACATGAAACTTCAGTTGGTGAGCAACAAGTAGCCATGGCACAACAACAAGTTTGGCTCAACAACAACCCAATTTTCAAAAATCACTTCTTGAGCCACAAGTCATTTCTTGTTCCAAAACCCTAATTTGTCTCAATTACCTCAATTTTGAAAATCACTCTTGAGCTATAAGTTTGTTGTTGCAAAACCCTAATTTGGCTCAACAACCTACCTATTTTCAAAAATTATTTCCTGAGCCACAAGTTTCTCTCAAAACCCTAGTTTGGCTCAACAAACCGTAATTGTGATCAACAAGGATTTTGAATGCTCTCTTGAGCCATCACCGAAAACGAAACCTTCTCTTGCTCATCAAGTAATTTCAAAACCCTTCTTGAGCCAAACCCTAATTTCAAAACCCTTCTTGAGCCAAACCCTAATTTCGAAATTCCCTCTTGAGCATCACTAATTTTAAATTCTTCTTGATCCTCAACAACCCTTTCTTGCTCATTAAGTAATTTCGAAATCCCTCTTGAGCATCACTAATTTTGAAATTCTTCTTGACCCTCAACAACCCTCTCTTGTTTATCAAGTAATTTCGAAATCCCTCTTGAGCATCACTAATTTAGAAATTCTTCTTGACCCTCAACAACCCTCTCTTGCTCATCAAGTAATTTTGAAATTCCCTCTTGAGCATCACTAATTTCGAAATTCTTCTTGACCCTCAACAAACCTCTCTTGCTCATCAAGTAATTTCAAAATGCCTCTTGAGCATCACTAGTTTCGAAATTCTTCTTAACCCTCAACAACCCTCTCTTGCTCATCAAGTAATTTCGAAAACCCTCTTGAGCATCACTAATTTCGAAATTCTTCTTGACCCTCAACAACCCTCTCTTGCTCATCAAGTAATTTCTAAATCCCTCTTGAGCATCACTAATTTCGAAATTCTTCTTGACCCTTAACAACCCTCTCTTACTCATCAAGTAATTTCGAAATTCCCTCTTGAGCATCACCAATTTTGAAATTCTTCTTGACCCTCAACAACCCTTTCTTGCTCATCAAGTAATTTCGAAACCCCTCTTGAGCATCACTAATTTCAAAATTCTTCTTGACCCTCAACAACCCTCTCTTGCTCATCAAGTAATTTCGAAATCCCTCTTGAGCATCACTAATTTCGAAATTCTTCTTGACCCCCAACAACCCTCTCTTGCTCATCAAGTAATTTTGAAATTCCCTCTTGAGCATCGCTAATTTCAAAATTCTTCTTGACCCTCAACAACCCTCTCTTGTTCATCAAGTAATTTCGAAATTCCCTCTTGAGCATCACTAATTTCGAAACCACTCTAGAGCCATTCCAAATTTCGAAACTCCCCTTAACCCACAAACCCTAATTGTAGCTTTTCTCTCTTGAGTCACAAGTATCTTCGTGATCAAGTAAAAACCTAACTCTTCTTGACCCTACCCTTCTTGCCTCATCAACACCACATCTCTTGATCCCCACAACCATTTTTTTCGTGATCAACAAGTCAAAACCAAAACCCTCTTGATTATTCCCTTCTTGCGTTACTTTATTCTTTTTCTTGAGCCACACTCTTGATCTTGTTTTCTTGTGCATCACTCAACCTTCAAAACCCTAGATGTGTCCTATATATATATATATATATATATATATATATATATATATATATATATATATATATATATATATATACTCATTGCACCATCCTCTTGATCATCAACTAAATCTCGTGATCATCAACAAGAGCATGCACCACTCTTGAGCCAAAAACCCTCTTGATCATCAACAAGCTTTCATGTTCACCAGCAAGGGAATTCACCACACTTAAGAATCCACCCTCTTGATCATGAACAATCATCTTGATCATCAACAAGATTTCATGATCCCCTCTTGATCCACACTCAAGTTTCGATACCTTCTTGATCCACCTTCAAGTAGCAAAACCCTAGTTGATCCACCTTCAAGTTTCAAAACCCTACTTGAGCCACATTCAAGTTTCAAAACCCTACTTGATCAAGACTCAAATTTCAAAAACCTAGTGAGCATCAAAGTCTTGGATCAATATCAATAGATGTCATCATCACCTCTTGAGCCACTCACAAACCCTAGGCAAGCTTTTTTTAAAAAAAACCCAATTCACGTTTTTTTAACCCTAAATCATTTTTTGTTTTGTATAAACCCTAGTTTTCTTTTGTTTTTGATCATCATCAACTACTTGTTGGAGAATCATCATTCAAACTCTCTCATGTGGATCATCTCCAAAATCTAGGTAAGCATCACAATTCTTTTGTGAAAACCCTAGTTGTCATAAATCAACCTCATGAGCATATCATATGCTACATGTGTAGTTTTCTTCTTTGTACATCATAGTCAACTTAACATTGATTATTGAATTATCATGTGTTTAGTGTTTATCATCATGTGGTCCATCATCATTTTATGTTGAGCATCACATTCCTTGATCACTCTAGGTAAGTGTTCATTCTTTCTCTTTACACTCTATGATGATAATCATGTACACCTTCTAAAATTTTGTTTTCTCTTGATATGACATAGATTTGAATATTTCCTGTGTCATTTGTGTTGACTTATCTCTCTGTGGCTCATTGATTTAACAAGACATCAACTGGTAAGAAACATCTCTCTCACATGTTCACATATCCTCATATAATAAGGTTTCCCTCCTTAGTTGATGATTCATGTCTATACGTATGTTCCTATGGTCAGGTGCCCTTAGTATTGGCTTGTCACTTCTTTTAAGTGAACGCCTCTTCTTGTTGCAATCATATTAGGTGAGTAAAATTTTATTTTATTTCCATTTCTTATTTTTTTTTATTTTCCTTTATTTCTTCTTGATCATTAATTCATCTTCACATAGCATGCTCAGGTTATTTAGTGTTGACTCTTTGATCAAATCTTTCTTGTGAGCATTATACTTATTGGTGCATATCTTGCTTTTCATACTCACAAGTCTATTACCTACACCTATCTTCTTTAAGGTAATTTCTCTTCTCTTACTCTTACGTGATCTTCAATTTCATGTCTTTATATATTATTTTAGGATCAACATATTTTTTTCTCTTCTACTTTTCAACTTTATCTAAATCCCTTCACAATTTTATGTGTTCTTGGATTTACATAAATAGTTGTCAACTACTATCTCTATGATACCTAATTTTATGTTAGTTTCTAAAGACATTTTCATTTGATGTGCCATAGTCATCATAGGCCATGACTTAGCAGCTTTACTTGATCTTTGCACTTTTTCTATGATTAAGTAACATCAATTTTTTGTGTTATTTTATATGACATCAATTTCTTTCATTCTTCTTCCAACTTGTCATGTAATTTGCTCTCTGGCCTATACTCAGTGAAAATGAATTTGTAGATTCTTCTTGTCCATAGTTGAATCAACAACACTACTCAAGTCACAACCTTGTTTAGTAAATGCAAATTCACACATTTCAACACCCCCCCCCCCCCGATTTTTTTTTCTTTAGTTAAGATTATAAGCTAACTCATTTTTAGCTATATTTCTTTAAATAACAATTCATTTTATTCTTTTTTTGTTTTTTTTTCAAGATGGCTTCCACAGAAGATGGTCAGACTTCTAAAGCAAAGTCTTCTCATAAGGCTTCACACTCTCATGCCTCTGGACCTTCAAGTGAAACACACTCATCATCACCTAAAGTTGAAGTAGTTGCATCCAACTATACTGCACTCCTCAACACTCAGCAACAACCCAAATAAATCGGTGTCATAGTTGAATATGTGCATAGATGCCCATTATCATATGCCCTTCTTTCTACTTCTCCAATTCCACAATCTCTTATCATAGAAGTCTTTCATTCAGTAATTATCTTCACAAGAACAAGGTCCAAACAACTTGATGTTGAATTTAATCTTTTTTCAAGCTACCTTGGTCCTAACTAAAGAAGAGTTCGCAGTCAGTTTAGGGCTAAGCGATATTCCTCTTAAACCTCAAACATTTGTCACACCAAATTATGCTCAGTTGTTGACAATGTTCAAGGAAATGGGGTATAAATTTCAAGACGAACATGAACCATGCCTTTCAAGAATTCGGAAATCTTGTCTTCCCACACCATGGCACTTTCTCAGTTCTGTCCTCACTAGGTGTCTCTTCGGATAAGTTGGTGGACACAGTCGCGGTAAAACAGACCTTTGGATTCTTATGTACGGGCTCTTCTACAACATCAATGTTGACTACGCGTCTATTCTTTGGGAAGATTTCCTTAATTTTCACCCTTCCTCAAAGAATAAGTTTTTGATTCATCATCCTCGCAGGTGGTCAATCATTATTTATGATGCCATCCATAATAGCAATCTTGCACCAGGATGGATTCTAGACGGCCCACAACCACATTTCTTGTGTATGACACCATATCGGATTCACACGATATCTAAATCTGGATCTTGACAACCAATCATCATTCTAGATTCTATACTTACAGAGTTTGGATGAAAACAATGCTTCTCTATGCTCATATCAGAAATACATCCAAGGAATTATTTTGCCTCCCAAAAAGAAGAGGAAGCATTCCGATCATGCATCCAAGAAGTCGGCAAAGAAGAAAAATAAATCCAAATCCAGTCAACCACCCCTATCTCATCTGCAGTCGTCTCTGATGATAATCATGGAGCAGATTTAGAGGAACCCATATCTCTTCCTAAATCTGGTATAACCTCTAAGCCATCCTCTTTCTTAGATTCCTTGTTTCAAGCTCCATCTGATTATGATGAACCATTCTCTTTAGCTCCAGTTTCACCAGCACGAGTTCAGTCAGTTCTAGAAAGTCCAAGCCATAGTGTCTCCTTGGATTATGACTCACTTGAGGATGATAACCAAGATGATGATAAACAATCTGAACCAGAAAACCTTCTTCAAGGTTCTCCTGTACACAATAATCTCGATGAGGATGCTCTAATGGAAGCGGTGGTCAAAGAACCCTAAGAAGTCAAACAGATTTTGAGATAGAAACTGAGATAGAAACCGAGACACGTGGACAACAAAATGAGCTTGTAACATCCTGACTTCCAGGTATTAATTTGAAGATTTAAATTCACATTTTTTAGAGCCTACTTGACGAGTTGGTTGCCCCCAACTCGTCGTGTAGAGATTGATCAGACTGGGTGATTTATGGAACCTACTCAACTAGTTGGAGGACCCAACTCAACGAGTTGAGGCTATTTATGAAAATCCTAATCTTTAAGGTTTGCACCCTATTTAAAGGACCTTAAGTCCCCTTTCCAGCCTCCTTACCACCTTTTCACATCCGGAAGCAAACCCTAATCAAGCTAACCCCTATTTTGAGTTTGTGTGAGACTAAAAGTGTGTGTTTGGTGTGTTTCTTGAAGAGAATTGAAGATTTAGAACCTTGGAATGAGAAAGGGCTTGTAGATCCAACATCTACATCATTTTGGCATCCTTTGGAGGTAATGAGTCACTACATTGATCATTTTCTTGTTAGATCTCTTCATTCAAGAGTTTAGGATCATTTCAAGCTTATCCTTGAAGCATTTCTGGTTTTGAGCATGATTTCAAATTGTAACTTCAGATCTGGACTCCTCTAGGCCCTCATGTACATAAATCCTCAAGCTTTATGAAGCCTTGGACCTTCTTCATGCCCTAAACATCTTTCTAAGGCTAGTTTTGAGTTTTTTTTAGCTTCTTGAAGCCTTGCATGCACATAAAGTTAGCAACTTTATGTGGCAACTACACCCTAGGAGGCTAGATCTATAGTTTGGAGACTTGGTTTCTCTTAAAAGCATCTAAATGAGGAAAGGACTGAAGGAACTCGACGAGTTGCATAGTCAACTCGACGAGTTGGATGAGGGTTTCTCGCTTCTGGATTATGCATGGACTCGGCGAGTTAGTGAGAAGACTCGACGAGTTGGTAAGGGTTTTCCCTAGATTATGCATGCTGCATGGACTCGACGAGCTTTCTGGTAACTCGGTGAGTTGACTGGGGTTTTTGTAATCTTCTGAGTTCCGAAGGAACTCGACGAGTTTGTAAGTTACGCTTGACAAGTTGGGTTAACATGGACTGTTGAACTTGACAGTTGATTTTGACTTTGACTAGGGGTTGACCAAGTTGACTTTTGAGAGAATTTTGGTAATGTGGGAATTTATGGAACTGGATCAATGGTGCTTGTAGGTGTTGGTGTTTGGAGCCGTGTTTCGGGAGTTTGATCTTTTCAGTTCTGTTCGACGTTATGAGGTGAGTTTTCCTCACTATACTTATGGGTCAAAGGCACCAAGGCCGCCCCTTTGGATAGTTATCTTGCTTTACTGTTAGTATGATATGTTAGATTAGTATCCTGGTAGATAGGATGGTTCTATGTGGTTATGATCAGTTAGATCGGTATCCTGGTAGATAGGATGTTGCTATGCTTAGTGATCTGTAGATTGGTTTGTCTGTCTGTAGAATGTTATATGATTATCTGATATATGTGCACATGATTGATTGGTTTTTGAGGCTTATCTGCTTTATGAGAGATCCAATAGACCAGGGAATTTCAACCTGATGGTTGTGGGCCGATAGTATTCCATCCCGAGGATGATTGGACTTAGAATATGTGGGTATTACAATGCGATGGTTGTGGGCCGAGGGTATACCATCCCAAGGATGATTGGACCCATAGTATGTTGGCATTCCAACCCGATGGTGGAGGGCCTTGCGCATTCCAACCCGATGGTTGATTGGGCCCATAGTATGTTGTTATTATATGTATGTTATTTGTTGTGCGGGTATTTTGGGGGAAGTCACTAAGCTTTGGGCTTACGGTTTTGGATTTTGTTTCAGGTACTTCAGATGATCGCGGGAAGGCGAAGGCGTGACCGTACACTTCCTCATTTTATGATTGTGATTTCTGGGAAAACTCTTATATTGATTTATTTTGAAAACAATTTGAACATTACTAGTTTTCGATGATTTTGCAATCAATTTATTAATTTGGGTTGATTTTGAAAAGTTTAAAATTGTGAATTTTTATGGATGTTACAAGTTGGTATCAGAGCCTTAGTTTGAGTGAATCGGAGGAACACCCGTGTGAATCCATTCTGAAACTAAGGAAAGGATTTTCAAATGGTTTTCAAAATACGAAAGGAGGATGCAGAGTGTACGATCAGCCGGAGCCAGTAAGTAGACCCAAAAATACCATGCAGTTGTTTGATATTGTGATATGTTAGAACATCATGGTAGTTATAGGCTAGGGATCTTCAGGAATTGCCTGATTATATGATGCCTGATAGCCTAGGATTACCTTATATGAAATTGACATCATTACTATAGTTGCTTAGCGTATGCATCATAGTTGTACATAATTAAGATTTTAAAGCCTATGAATGTTTTAGCCTTATTTCCTATTCTTGTTTGATGAAGGGATTAGGGTAGGATCAGATATTCGAAAGTCTATAGGGTCCGGTGTTATGTATGATTAGCATACACGAGTGCTTCAGGGTTGGTGGAAGCTTCATGGATGAGTTTTGTGGGGTCGTTCGGCCAATGATAAGATAGTTAGCATTCCTGTAGGAGTAAGGATTGAGCACTCTCCATGCTTATGTATATTTCTAAGGTGTTGTGATGATACTTGAGACAAATATGGGTAGGTGTGGAAGGTAGTATAGGCCCATACTACTGAAAGCACAGGACCCATACGTATAACAAGGAAGTCACAACCCCTAGGGTTTAGTCGAGAGTTTTTTCCCCATTATTTATGTGGATTATCTGATATCTTTCTGGTATATTTTCAGTATGGTGGTTACGAGGTGATTTGATATCGGATCCGGGTCAGCATCCGGAACTAGCAGCTAGGATAGGACAATGTTAACAGAGGATCGCGTCAGGAAGATCATCCGGGAGGAGGTGGTTAAGATTGTCTGGGGTCAGATTTTAGAGATGTTTGGGTTTATCAAGACCGCCATGGTGGAGTATTTTAATGACAGATATGTAGCCACTGCTGAGACTACAGTTGCTGCAGCCTCTGCAACTGTGGCGACTGCAGGTACGAGGATATGTCGGGCTTGTCATTACTGGGACTTCTATAACACGAAGCCCCCAATTTTCGATGGGATTTAAGACCCGATCATAGCCATGAGGTGGTTGTCTGACATGGAGTGGTGTTTCTTCACATGCTCATGTCTTGCTGACCAGAATGTGAGATGTGCTCTGAAGCAGAGGATTTGTACTCAATTCAAGGAAGGTTGTAATGAAGCCAAGGAGATTGTGTAGTTATGATTTCCCTGGTATGCATTGATGATTATTCTGATAGTTTATTGGTCTATTTTCAGTATGGTCGTATTGCGAGGCAAGCCAGTAGGCAGTTCCGGTGTTAGGGAGGGATCAGGCTCGGGTTATGGAGCCGGGCAGCTGAATGACCAGACGAGGAGTTCATCTCGTCCGAGATTACACACAACATCCTTGATAAAACTTATTGTGATTTTTGGCTCGATCAAGTAGAGCATTATGGAGCTTCTTGATGAGATATTAAGCGCTTTTCGTGCTGAGATCGTGGATTTGATTGGGACGCACTCTCTGAACTTCTGGGAGTTTCGAGCTTGTGGAGCATCAGACTATCATGGGGATAAATACCCCATTGCGAGCAGCAGGTGGTTGGCAGATGTTGCCAACGCCTTCCGTACCAGTCGTTGTCCTGAGGGGGACAAGGTCAGACTAGCATCCTGCCTCTTAAAGTATTGGGCTCGTGATTGGTGGGAGGAGGTAGGTCATGATGTGGGATGTGATGCTATTGATTCGATGGCCTGGGGTGATTTCTATACTAGGTTCCGAGCCGAGTTTGCACCAGTGATCGAGGTGCAGCTGCTGGCGTGAGAGTTTCAGGATCCCGGTTAGACTACTAAGACAGTGACCGGGATTAATGCTATGTTAAGGGAGAGTGACTTTATGGTTCCGTAGTATGTGGAGGACGAGGAGATGAAGAAGGCCCGGTACCACGAGATGTTTAGGAGCGATATTCGGTAGTTTGTGAGCCGATCCAGCTGCAAGACATGACTTCGAGGGCTAGAGAGAGGGAGATTGATTTGGAGATGGAGAGGAAGAGGAAGCCAAATTCTGTTGTGAGTGTTGACGGGTTGGGCAAGAGACCCAAGGTATTTGATTCCAGGCCGAAAGGCCAGTAGGGTCGTAGCCACTGTGGTAGGTTAGGGATGAGCGTAGGCGGGTACCCACCTCATTTGGCGAAAACCGAAACCGGCGGTTCCTAGAAAGTTAGAACCAGAACCGGAACCGCTCTAGGCAATTCTTAAATGTTTGGAACCAGTCCCGGAACCGGCGGTTCCGGTTCCGGGAGCGGGTAACCCGGTCGCATTAATTTTGTTAACTTTTTTTGACAAAACCACAATTTAGTTCGATCTAAATCAAATCAATTCGGACCAAAGACGGACAAAATCGTACCAATATATTTTAAACCGGTCTAAGTAACACACCTTTATCTGAAATTATATATATATATATATATATATATATATATATATATATATATATATATATATATATATATATAAACCGGTTCCGGCGGGTACCCAGCGGGTAGCGGTTCCGAAAAAACGAGAACCGGAACCGGAACCGCTTAAGGCGGTTCCATAACTTTAGGAACCGGAACCAGAACCGCCTAAGGCGGTTTCCGTTCCAAAACCATCAGTTCCGAGGCGGTTCCGGTTCCAAAAGCGGTTACCCGGTTCCGATGCTCATCCCTATGGTAGGTGTGACAAGGTGCACGAAGGAACATGCAGGGCCGGTGGTTCTGGCTACTCCAAGTGTGGCCGAACTGGTCATATCAATAGAGATTGTATTGCAACCACCCACGTCACTCTGGTATCTGATCTGATTTGCTTCAAGTACGGCCAAACTGGTCAGCACCCGCTCCTGCAACATTAAGGATTACTAATGGCCGCCAGGGCCGGGCAGATGTGCCAGCACCGAAGAGCAAGGC